GGAAAAGTGCACAAGAGCATTGTATCACCCGATAGAAATTGATGTCAGAGGAAAGGGTAACCGATCTGACAAGTTCATTTACCCAAATCCGGACATGAGGTAAGGGGCACAGACGCAGAAATGGAGAATCGCAGTCGATGCCACTGACCATCAAAAAGGGAAGCGGCTGTTGAGGAGATTAGCCAGTCGTTCAAAGGAACACCTCGAGATAAGTCGATCGGAGAGACCACAATGTTGCCTTTATTCGCCAATCTGATTTGAAAGGCGCGAAGAGAACTCCAACGTACAGTAACCAATGAGCCAGCCCGTTGACGTGTCCTGATGGACAGGCTGAGCTCCATGCGGTATTCGCTTGGCCGCGCAACCTGCCAGTGGGCAAAGCTGCCTCCGGTGAACTGAATGGGTCCAGTTTCTAAAGCGTCCAATGTGGGGTTGGAGAACCAGAATGCAATAGAAAGCTGATGAGTCTTGGCATAGAAATGGATCGAGAGCCGATGCAATTCCAGGAAGTGGGAAATAAGGGGCATAGTAATGGAGAACTTAAGTGGAACATAACAGTCATTTTTCCAAATCCGAAATTTTGAAGTTGGTGGAATCTAAGAAAGTTACTATAAAGGCATATCAGTTAACTAAAGGTTTTTCTCACAAAGCTGGAATGCGAAACACAGATTGTTGCTATGCGAGTTATCTGACCTATTTTGTTAACACTACTCTCACTACTGAACAGTATCAAGCAGTCGAATTGAGTTGACGCTGATTATTCGGGATGCTCGATCAGTTGCTGTGCCGACTTTACCTTAGGTCAGCTTGACATTGGCATACTGGATGATAAGGATGATTATGAGGTTGTTCCAGCACAATCTCCATGTGTCATTATAAATCAGACAACAGTCATTATTTTTCAGGTATCATGACTGTTGAAATTATTCGTTTTCGTAGATCAGGAATCAGATTGCTATGCGTTATGACAGTCGCCGATGGTGTGGCGTCCGAGTGAGGGAAATCTATTTAGTGACAACTGAGAAAACAGCAAGTTTGTGGGACATAGGGGAGAAAGGAAAATGCCCGATTAACACTACGCTCAAATTCACTTACAACCATTCTGAAAAAAAACAAGGCAGGTGCAAGATGAGTGTGAGGTTGGTGCTGCTACGTCAGACGATCACCAATTTCCCTAATCTATTGTTAATTCTGCTTCAAAGAGTTGGAAACTGATTGTGCAATTGTAGAACTGTTTTAACTCAGATGGTTCGTTTAATATTTAGAAAAAAAGCTTTCCCTAACTTTAACGATTCGTTAAATTTTAAGCTTATCACTATGAGTTTCAGTGATAAATCATACGGGCCAAAGGAAAGAGTATAGTGGTAATAGTAGTGAAAATGCGATCCGGGGTGGTAAGTCAGAAGATGGATGAGCGTTCAGTCACTGAAGATGGGTGGACGACACAACTACCGAAAACGTCAGACATTTAACAGATCTCCCCTGGTGAAATAATTACGTTTTTATCAATAAGAGATACATCCAAACAGAAAAATATCCAGGCAGCACCGTAAAATTATACCATTATTTGCTCAGTATAGTAAGAAAAGGCGTGAGGTAACTTGACACAGGGCCTAAACAACTTACGGTAAGACAGTTTTTAATGCAATTTGGTCGGACACGGGTATACAGTAGAGGGAATGCCAACAGAAATTCTTTAAAATGCTTTCTTTTCGAAAAGAATACTGATGTGGGGTTAGTATACTCGTTATAGTGTAGCATAATTACAAGATATGTCAGTCAGGTCAGGATGGTAGTATGAATTTTTCTCATTTATGTTCGACGCCGTTGTTCATGCACAAAAATATTCTTTCTTGTACTTATGTTGCAACAAATTGCATCTTCTGCAATTGTTATGCTCGAAGGAAATGGGCTTTCGGTTTTAAAAAAACTTGTTAAATTATTGAATAATTTTGAACTTGGTCTGCAGTTACGTTTGCATCTACGATTTCAAAACTGCCAACTATAAATATTCCGCCTAAGAAACATCACGCATTTCTTTTTTGGGAAAACATGGGATAGCACTCCTTAAATTTTATGAGGAATGCGGATAACATTATATACTTTGTAAGAAGCATTAATAAATTAACAGATACGATGCCTTATGAGTGGACATTTCACGGTCGTAAAAAAGCTCCTAATTAGAAACATTTTTAAAGAAGAAGACGTAATTTGATTTAAAAAAAGTACAGAAAGTAATATTTTCGTGCGTATAGTTGAATCTACAGGGGCAGAAAAAATCAATAAGAAAGCACATACTACCTAAGTAGTTATTTTTACAGTGTATTTTCTGCAGGCGGTCAGAAGGAAGCTCGGTAAAAAGCCGGTATCCCGACTTGACTGAAATATCCGTAGATTATGCTGCGCAATACTGTATCTGACAATCCTACCTAAGTAATATTTTTGAATTGTAAACACGTTTCAAAATTTCTATTTAGATTGCATGAGAGAGCAAATCTCGTCCCTACTACAAATGGATTTGCGCTTAACTCCAGGAAGGGTAGTATTCTGTTTCTTATCTTTAACCCTAATCCTAACTCCAGTCCCAACCCCCTCTGGAATTTAGAGTAAAGTGCCTTAGTTGAAAGTTAGGTCAAAAGTGGACTTGCCTCTCTGTTGGTAGCAGGTATCGCTAAAACAGGCCTTTGGGTCAGCCACCGGACGACTGAGAAGCTCACAGTTTTCACCCTTCCAGGGTGGGGGACAGACGCAGGCATGGGACGTCCCAGGCGTCCAAGGAGGTACACAGATGCGCGGAGACTTACAGGTGACTGTGCCGCATACGGTGCGGGGCTGGCCACAAGCAGGACCGCCAAAGTTGAGAGGACATCTACACGTGGAAACCAGTCGAAAGGGCGGGCTGACACGGCTCACACCGTGCACTTCAAACACATTTGCCTCCGCGTCTTCAATGTCCAGCATGATTCGAGTAACGCAATTTCCCGATTCGCACTTCTGCAAAAACAAGAATAATTGGCATTTTGATAGATGCCATCCTGGGTACTCTGGGTTCTACGTTTGATCATTTCACAACTGCTGAGGACATTTCCTCGGCGTCGTCAGGATATTAGGAACGATTCCGGAGGCCAAACGACGCTAGGCTACGAAGTCTCCGACAGTGGTTAACGTAGACGGTTGCTGGAAAAATGGAAGATTTAGTAAGGAAACCGTCGGTGCTTCTTTAGGAATTTCCTATAACTGATTCCATGTTGAGAGCCTCGTATGGGGTGCGCATATTATTCAAAAGACACAGTAGTCTGGGTATAGATCAGTGTTTAATTATGCTAATCTAGTATGCGTTGGTTGACTGAAGAATAGCATCAGCGACAGAATAAAAATTGTTAGTGGCACATGTTACTATTCTTAAAGATAGACTGAAACTCCATGTACTCAAATGTGTACATATGTTGAAAATGTGGAACCAGGTGTGAATAAATGACCCGGAGAACCGAAAATTTTCTGATAAAACTAGGAAGAGTGCACAATCGTGAAAAAAACCTATGCTGAAAGAACTGTGCCCGTTTAGGTAGCACAAAACTTATGCAATTTGAGATTTCTACTGAGTAAACCAAATGAAGCTGTCCTTAAAACGTTTACCCTTACAAGATCTGTCAAAAACCTCATCTATTCATGCAACGAGTAACCAAATGCAAAAATTAATAACAAAATGGATGCCAGACTGAGAAAGTGACACGAAGACGCATATGTCAAACATACAACCGTACAAGGAGACAGAAGATCAATGCTCATCTACCATGAACGGCAAGAGTTGGTGATTTCAAGCGATATTGCCTTCGGTGCCTGAGGCTCCGTGTAAAAAAGAACTAACTGGTCCGAATCGAAGAGGTTCGTGAGCAGGTCACGACCTGGGCAATGCGAGAAGCCGCTGTGCAGAGGGCAGTAACGATGCCTTTAATGCCATCGCGTGTTAATTACACCCACACAAAGAGACTAGCTAGAGAGGGACTCGAAGTTTTCTTGTAAGGAAGAGAAAACGAGGCCCCAAGATGATAGTGTACGACGGCGCCAGGAAGCAATAACACCAAATCCATAGTGAGTGGCAGTAAGCTGACAGACATCTCACGTGAACGACCACAGCGCGAGGCAGGCGTCCGGGATGACAGTTGGTGAAGGCATTGACGCATGGGAAGAGTATAAATATTCACTTGAAGGCTAAAAATCGCCCCGCGCGTACTGACACGCTCAGAGTAGTTTGAGATATTGCCAAGTAAGAGGTACGTGTATCATACAGAAGGGAGAGAGAGGGTAAATTAAAATGCATTTTGAAGATAAGGACCTTCTGATAGGAACATCCCAATAAAATGTGCAATTACTGAGTACTAGCGCACTAGAATGGTACACATTTGCATATTCACATGCGAAAATATTCGAGGTCCACTTACAATATTGCTTTCATCCTCCCCGGAAGAGGAAGAAGAAGGGACAATTTCTGAGACCAGGGTGTATTTATGCTTACGTTTCAAAAGCGTTCTCTGTTCCAAAGTCAGAGCGTAGTATCGAGCGAGTCTGTCTAACGGCTAGCTGTGCCTCATGCCCGCATGTCAATCGATTGTACCGATCAATTGCTGGTGGCTGTTTGAATTGTTCGCGCCCTCGCGGGCGCCTCCATGAGGTGTGTCAAGTCGTTTATGTGCCTCCTGGATGCTCATGCAATCTTGTGCCAAGGCGTCAGCCCGTTTCACCAACATACCTTGCATCGCAGTTTTGGGATGGTATGTTATAGACCACTGCTGATTGTTCTGTCAATGCTAGCGGGTCTTTGGGCCTCATGGTCTGCTGTCTGATGGTTTACTCTGGCCTATGAGACACACCGATCCCGAATGGTTTCAGTATTCTTGCAGTCGCCTCTGATACGTTCTTCACATAGGGAATGGCGAGCCAAAACTTAGGGTCTTCTTCTTTCGGCCGCTTAAGGGCAGGCTTCTTAAGGCACTTGCGTATGAAGGACTTTGGACAACTGTTGGCTTGAAATAGGGTATGCAGGTATTTAATCTCCTCCTTTTTCTCACTGCCGTCAATACAGTGTGTATGAACGCGTTGGAAGAGGGTCCTAACACAACTGCGTTTGCGACAAACGAGGTGGTTGCTTCTGAAGTGGAGGATGCGCATAGTGTTCGTTGTCTTACGGTAGACCAATACCTTATCTTTCCAAGGCAGACGCCTTGGCACAAGATTGCATCAGCATCAGCTCACAATCAACCGCGAGGATAAGCTGTCTATGGTCTATGACCACGTACAGCAGAAAAATCACACCTTCGCCTCTGAGAAAGCAAGGGTAGTAGTCCGAGCCAATGACAAAATGGCCAGAATGCTGGTAGAAAGTTGGTCCTCGACTGGCACACTTAACAGAGCCATCGACCTTCATCCCGCCTACCAAGCGCTCCGCATAAGGCTAACATCTGTTCAGAACGGAGTAATAGGTCGGGCTAAGGAAGATACGCAGGGCCGACGACAGTCAACCGCGAGCGAAGAAGGTGGAAACGTCCAGGGGGCACACAAACGACTTGATACACCTCATGGAGGCGCCCGAAAGGGCACGAACAATTCAAACAGCCACCAGCAATTGATCGGTACAATCGATCGACATGCGGGCATGAGGCACAGCTAGCCGTTAGACAGACTCATTCGACATTACGCTCTGGCGATGGAAGCGAGATCGCTTTTGAAAGGTCAGCATAAATGCACCCTGGTCTCAGAAATTATCCCTCCTTCCTCTTCAGGGGATGGTGAAAGCAACATTTGCATATATTTTTTCCGGTACTGAGGCCAACTAGTGCGCTGTAGAGGATTGGCAACCGGTCTCCAATACCCGTTGGATTCTAAAAACTCAACAAATGTTACCTACCTTCTGAGCGCAAAGGCTATTGTAGGCATGCACAGAATGCCGAAGTACACCGGAGAGGTTAGACTGCATCGCATGGATCCGTTGAACCAAATGGCCCGACTCGATGAACTGACGCTCTAGGGGATCGTATATGCTCAGCAGAACATCGACCCCTCGAGGAGGGGAGGAGACGGCGGAGCTTCGCTTTGGTCTGACTGACCCAGCGCTCTCAGAATTTAACGTGGCCTGAACAGAGAGGAGGTAGACATTCGATTCGAGCTGGGCCTCGTTAGACGCGGATGTACGCAGCAGTGCCCGAGATAGTTCTCGCTTGATGATGTCGTCATAACGCTGCATGAAAAACTCGTTGGGAGATAAATCAGCGATGTGGAATACACACGCCGACTCCAACATCTCCTCAGTTATTCCAACAAGCTGCAAGAGAAAAGAGGGGTAATGAGTCGGATTGGTAACGATAGAGCGAATCACAAGGCTAAGTCAGTTGAAGTGGGTAGTAGACGATGAGCAATTTATTTCCGAAACAGGGTACGGAAAATAATCAGCAACATCGTATGAAACACGGGTAGAGGGGTAAGCACGGAAGGCGAGCTTCCCTTCTTCTTCTTCTTCTTCTTCTTCT